CGGCTCCCGCGGTGCCGCCGCCCGCTCTCAGCCGCGCAGGGCGAGAGCTTTTCCTTTGCGACAAATCTCATCGTCCCCTGGCAGAGGCAGGGGAGAGTCCCGGTTCTCTTAAGGAAAACCGGGGTGGGGGGCTTATGCTGGTAGGCTGCTCCCCCATCCCCCTCACCCTTCCAGCCTCCCCTTTCCCGCGGTCGAGACTTCTGTCTCCTCAGAGGATCACCCGGGTCCTGCTGCTGTCGGAATCCCACGGCACGTTTTTAGCTCTCGCGTAGCTGCAGTTGAGGCCTTTCTGCCACCAGGAAGGTTGGAGTAACCACCCCGTACATGTGTAGTCATTGCCACCTACATCCCTGGCTGATAGAAGGCAGAAGGATTTTTCCATTGCTTTTTATTTGTTTAGGGTGGGGTTTTTTGGGTTTGGGTTTGGGTTTTTTTTTTTGCAATGCCATCTCTGATTTCTGTTTTGTGACAGTGTAAGTACCTTTTCCCCTATTGCTGATCTATTCGTCATGTTTATTTGTGCTTGGGGTTTTACTTTCCTCCATTTTTATAAAAGTGTGTCTTGCCCATTTTTGGGAATACACCATAATCACCTTGAATTTAAATTCATCCCCCTCATGCCTTCCATACACCTCCTGAATTTGTATCATCAAGAGATTATATATGTGTCAAAACCATGTTAAATCAGCTTCATCAATTGGTTTGTGTTCATGATGGTATCAAAAAAGGAAAGATACAGTGTATTTTCCTCCCCCTAAATCACTGCTGCCTGTTTTTTAATCATCTGGGTGATATGTGAGTGCTTATAGATTTCTTCTGCTGTGCTTTGCTGTGGTGTCTTTCCTGGTATGGGAGCTGTGAGGGCCACTCTTAATTCCCTGTATCTTCCATCTTGCCTGATTTTAAATTGTCCTTGTCCCATCTTCTGGGACCTCCTTCACCATCCAGGAACTAACAAAGATTGCAAATAATTCAGCTTGCCCAGAGAGGCTGTGGGATCTCCATCCTTGGAGGGTTTCAAGATGCATTTGGATATAGGCCTGAGCAATATGGTGGGTCCCCATAGTTGCCTGGGCTTTGAGCAGGAGGTTGGATGAGACTTCTTGAGGTCCCTTCCCAACTCAGGTACTGTATTTAGCTTCTCTGAACTCTCCTTACTCTGTTCCTTCTTAGGCCTCAGTAGCAATGGGGAAAAGATTTATGGAGCTTCATGTCTTAAAATTAGCTGTAGATCTCAATGACATGCTGAAAGAGGATCGATATGTTCCATCTGAGAAGGTAGTGTGCGGTCTTATAGGCATGCAGCAGCCGTGGAAGTATTTGATGGTTAGGACAAGCAACTTGGGAGAGAGGGATTTTGCTGCTAGGTCCAGTTTTACAAGGGATTCACAGGCAAATCCTAGATTTTTGAGTGCAGGAGTCTACATTGTTCTACTGGAATAAGTAAGCATTTGACTGCAAGTTTTCCTTGAGATAGATTTGAGCACTGATGACAGTAGCTGATATCTCGGTCTTACTCCAGGTCCAGAAGGAGCTGCAAGCATAAATCCTTTTACTTGCCAACAGTAGTCTGTCACTCCCCATAAAGTCTTTTACCAGGCTGTTTGTTGCAGTGACTTACTGCTTACTTTGACTATCATGCCCAACTTTCTTATCACAGATCTAAACCAACTAACAGTTAATTATTTAACTAATGCTCAAGTCAAGTTTACTGCTGTAAGTCCCCTATCAAATAACCATCATACTCTTAGATCCTTTCAGCAGGTTTAGAAAATAAAACGTTTCTTTTCTTTTCTGTTGGGTATAGGAGTGATGTGAGAACCACCTGTTCTGTGTGAAGAACGAGATAAAACATTTGATGAAAGAAACAAAACATCTGATAAATGGAAGCCATGAAGATATCAAAGCGGTTCTTCGCTTTTGGGATTTTGGCATGCATAGCTATTTATGTTGCATACATAAAATGGCACTTGGATTCCAAACCAGTCATGGGAGAAACAGAAGGAGTTGCTGAAAGCAGGGGAGACAAACTGAACCATCAGGCACTGACCACAGATCAGTCGGTCTTTTATGGAATTATGTTTGATGCAGGAAGCACTGGAACTCGCATTCATATTTTTAAATTTACGCAGCGGCCAAAAGGTATGGCCTGCTCATTGCACAATAGATTAATTCTTCCATAATGTATGGAGCAGATTATTGATGATTCTTTTCTAGGGACTACTTGAACAAAAATGCTTCATCTCTTTCTAGAGAGTCATCAGGAAGCATATTATGATTCAAGCATGTGAGTTTGGATGAAATTATGAAAACATTCAACAAGGACAAAATGCTGTAATGTCAGAATGTGAACTAAACAGCAGCTGTACCTTTAGAACCGTGCCTTGAAGAAGAGTAGTTTTTCATCACACTGCTTGGTGGAAGAGGGGATTATAAATTCAGACTGCCTTCTTCCCCTAAATTTTCACCACGAGGTTGTTGGCTGTCTCCAGTTCCTGGCAGTGAGCTGCTTCTCTCTGCATTGTCTGGTTTAGTGCATCCAATGCTTCAGTGTTGGATTTAAATTGCAAAACTTCATTGTTTGGTTAAAATTGCTTTTTATTGCATCTGGACAGAAAGTCTTGCTAAGAAGTGAGACAGAAGTGCACAAAAAAGCTCCAGTTTTCCTCTGTAGTCATAAGCTTCATTTGTTTAGGTGTTGTCAGCTCCTATTTGTGAAATTTAAAGTTGAAAGAACCCATGTGGATGCTCTTAGTAGGTGATCTGAGGATGCTTTTAAGGATTAGCAGTGTGTTGTACGGTGGGATTGGCCTGTGGATTTGCAGAATGGGCTCGTGTAAGGTTTAGCCACCAAAGGTGTTAAACAACAGTCCATGCATTTCCTTCTTCAGTGTATTCCTGAATCTTTGCTTTTTCCCCACCTGCTTCTCTTTAAACACAATTTCAGAATATGTTGCAGGAAACCTGATGGAGTGTTTGTAGTTGGGCACAGGAGGAGGATGTTGTCTTGCCTGCAGGTTCATATAATTGTCTGTGCTGCAGGTTTCCAAAATACTTGTGTCTGGCTCCCTCTGCCGCCACTGAAGATGGTGATCAGGCTTCCACTAAGTTTTGCTGAAGTCAAGTTTAGCCAGAAAAGACCACGCTCAACCTGGGGTCTTTGTTACCAGGTGCAGTTTGGAAAGCTGCACGTGGCAGGTGTAAGGGCTCAGAGACAACTTGCACCCAGCTGGTGATTGCCTGATGTCCATGAAAAATACATGCATAGTGCACACCAGCATCTGAAAAACAGTCACGACTTAAAAATGGTTTTCTCGGGAGTTAGTTCCATAGCAAGGAAAGGTCAGGTGGCTGTTGATAGCTCATTAGACAGAGGCTTCAGCTGACTTCCATTGGCACATAATGATGTAAATTGTAAAATGGTTTTCTTTTGTGTATGCAAAATTATTTGTACCGTTACTTATTTTGGAATACTGCTTTTGAACAGAGACTCCCAAATTAACCCATGAGACGTTTAAAGCACTGAAGCCAGGTTTATCTGCATATGCCGATGATGTTGAAAAGGTAATTTTGTTTCTGTTACTGTAAAAGTACGTGCCCCAGAATCTGCTGGTTTTGATATGCCCTGCAAATCACATCTTGCTGTGTTGTAGTATGCTGAACTTTATCAGGTCAGAGAAGTGTCTTCAAATGATACCAGACCACAGTAAAAGTTGGTCAACATGCAGAAGAGCAAGGAACAGAACACATCCAGTTCCACTCGGTGCTGTAGTTAATTAAGCACAGTGGATGCTTTTCCTATCTCTGCCTTAAGAATTTCTATGTGCTTAAGAAAATTACAAAAGAGCTGTGTTGGATTGGAGCAGAGCCTTCTTCAAAAGTGACCAGAATTGGATTCTCAGGAAAACAGTCAAACAGGCCAAGTACTAAGTGACTTTTCACCTGTCTCCCTTACCTTCTGGCCTGCAGGGATTTAGGGACTTTCTGAGCCAGATTTACACCCAGCTCATAATGTTTTACTGGCTCCAAAGACCCTTTTTTCCCAACGATCTGTCATAATGCCTTTTGAACCTTTTGTAGCCAGAACATTTAGTGGCAGAGTTCTATGTCACTGTTTGAAAAAGTGACTCTTCCCGTTTGGTTTTCACTTGTTGCTGGATAGCCCCTGTTATATCCATCGGGCCTCATGCTGTAGGAGATAGTGAGTCCTCTTCACCTTCTCCTGACACCTTGAGATGTTTGCTTGTCTCTGTTCCACATTTACAGTGAATTATACCTCTGACCACACTTTTGCCCTTCCAAGAAAGGCAAATAGTTTCAAAGATGCATTTTTTTTTTTTGTTCTTTATCTGCTCACAGAGCAGCCAGGGAATAAAAGAGCTCCTGGAGGTGGCGAAGAAGGAAGTTCCTGTGGAGCTGTGGAAGTTTACTCCTCTGGTCCTGAAAGCCACAGCTGGCCTACGGTTGCTGCCAGGAGAGAAAGCTCAGAAACTGCTGGATAAGGTACTATTTCTTGGTTTTCAGTTTGCTTTCCAGAAATTTTATAGCAAAAGTTATCCCTTCTGTGTAAGGTGCACACTTCTTTTCATGTACATGAGCCATTCCTATCATTTAACCATGAAAACAGTGCGGAGCCACCTGATCTCAAATGGGGTTGGGGAAGAAATTGTGTGAGTACAAGCACAGAGGAATGATGACAGCTCCAAATAAGCTTGGAGATGACACTTAACATAATAGGCATAACGAGATACTCCTAACAGTCACCACAGGCTTGTTCTTACTGGGTATGTTTGTTGATGCTTTTGACCAGGATGCTGCTATTTTGAGAAAAGCTCTCTGCTATTTGATTGGTCTTGTTATCAGCCCCCTGCTGCAAGGTTGCTCCTTTATATTGATTTGAAATAATGTAAATTGTATTTATATGCATGAAAAATATGTTTAATAATTTAAAATATTATAAAAATAAAATATTATGTACTAGACTTAGAGCCTCAGGAAAAGTTTATTATGTGTGCAGTAAGTGTGCTCTTTTTCTAAGCACTAAGGAAGAAATGTGTTGTGGTTGAAACCAATATCTATATTGTTCTTTGCTGCCTGCAAGCTGGCCTGTTCTTTTCCACACCGAATTTCAGCTGGAACTGCTGCAGTTGCTACTTTAGAGGACTCTGGAAACCTAGGGGTTTGCTACCTCATGTAGGATGTGGTGTAGAGGACTTTTAACAGTCAGCATGCTTCATTTTTAAAATGCCATTCCCTGGGGCATTTCTGAAAGCCAGGGTGCCCATCCCCTGCCTCTCCCATGCATATATAATAGCTTCTGTGTGGCCAATTGCAGCAAAGTAAAATGAGTTCCCTTCCCTACCCGTATCTATCCCTTGTTAATGGCATTTCTGAGCAGTCTTCATGCTTGAAAACCCACACATCCATCCCTGTCTCTGCACTAAACTGCAGAGCCAGCGTGTAAATCGCAGACCTTTTATAGCAGAGTGCAGACTGATGCTTGGTGAGCTCTTGAACTTCAAGCAGTGCTGAGCAGCAGTCAGGATCTGGCCCAAGAAGAAGAGCAATTGAGTAAAACTGGAGTTTTAAAACAACTGCTTTCCAGCTGAAAAAAGGTTTCTCTGAGTGTAACTTTTATTTGAACTACAGGTGAAGGAGATTTTTCAGGCCTCCCCCTTCTTCGTGAGGGATAACTGCGTGTCAATAATGAATGGAACTGATGAAGGTAGGCTAACTTGTAGACACCCTTTTTGCAATCCTGGATATTCCTTGCTGGCTGTACTGGGTTTGGTACAGTTTTTATGCTGCCTCAAGCAGTGCCTGCCAAATAGATCTTGTGCTACGTTTTCCAATTTGAAGTCCTGAACTCTGTTCTGATTTTCAAAACTCTTGAGTGCTGTGCAGTTCCTGTGGGATCACCAGGAAGCCACCGCGCAGTCAGCATTTGTGGAAAGATTTCTGAATATCTGCTTGTTGCGATGGTCTTCAGCAACTGGTTTTGCACACCCTGCTCATGACAATGCTCATCAGAGCTTTCTGGAAGTATTTTGTCATAATGTTAATTGTAACTGATCTAGTGAGCGTGATTGTGAGTTCAGTCTGAAAAAATGTTATGTAGAGAAGAAAATATGTGCTGAAGTGAGATGATACTCATCAAAAAATGCTGAGGACAAAACCCATAATCAGTCTTGATTTAAAATAATTTGAAGAAACATGTCTACATTCTAAGTAACTGAGTGTTGAAATGTGTTTTAGATATGCTTAGAAACCAAACTTTAAAATAGCTGGAGCTGTTTGGAGCCATTTTTGTGGGGTTTTTTTACTGCTTAATAGAAGAAAGACGTTGTAATTCTTTTTGTTTTGTTTTAAAATCATTAATAGCAGTGACAGCCTTGGTTCAGCCAAGGGTTGAACTGGACCGTGTTCCCTAGCATGCCTTGAGTTTTAACCACATGGATAAATACTTGAATTTGTTAACATTAGGCCCACTAATTAATCTAATTTATGGAGAAAAAGTTTATAAGATAAGAAGACGACAGAAACAGTGTGGCTCACAAAACTGCTTGAGGAAAACAGGAAAAATAAGAACGCTGAAAAGATAAAAATTCTTAGTATTCAAAAGGAAAGTCAAGTGCCTGACATCAAACAAAAGCCTGCCAGTGGATGTTTTCTTGGAAAATGAACATTGTGAGTGTCAGTCATTTCCTTGCCTTTTAGCTAAGGACCGAAGCCTTAGTGACTTCTCACCTAAGTTTTTGACCTGTGAATTACAGAGTTGTCCAGACACTTCATACATGGGGCTTCTCTTCCAAATGCCACATAAGCTCTGGTATTGAAGGTCAGTGTGGAAACACTGGATTTGAGGCAAGGTGGGTCAGGGGAGCTCAGCAGAGCTAGTCCTGTTCACCCTCTTTGAAGATCCTTCTTGCTTAGCTCTCAGCCAGACATTCTTTGGAGACCTTGTTTAGAAGTCCTCCATTTATGAAAGGGGTCTCCCCTTGTGGCAGATGGTCTCTGGTGTCTCTGTCTATTGTTGGATGACAAGCTGTGGTTTGCTCATTGTTTTGTTTAGATGGTGCAGTTAAACTGTGAGAAAACTTCAAAATGCCTTCAGCTAAACAGATCCTGAAGTAGGAAGACATTGTAATACAGCTCACCTTATTTGTTACTGTTAGGTAAAATGAAATGGTATGATATAACAGTGCATTTTCTGAATCTTTCCCTTATTAGGTATTTCAGCCTGGATCACAATAAATTTTTTAACAGGTATGTGTACATGAGCATGTGCATAAAGATATGACTGATGCTGCGAAGTTCATGCTGGTTTCTGCCCCTGCATGGGAATTGCTCATTCACTGGGGTGGAGTGGGAGAAAGAAAGATCTGGGAATAAGTCAGCAGTTGTCGGCCACTATGTAAGTCATTAGAATTTTGGCCATTTACTTGACAGAGTGAGGAATTTAATCCCTTTTCCTAGATGTTTAATGTAGCCTTTCCTTCAATTACCTGTAGGGTACTAGAGCATTTTATTCCTTTTTAGAGTCTGCCGCTAGCGCTAGTGGCTAAATTTTTAATGTGGATATTCTAGATGTGCTTGGCAGCTGCACAGAGTGAAAGAAAGTGCTATGCTACTTCCTTACAGATTTATAATGTAGAAATACTGCAGGTGTTCACACTGCTCGGTTAGAAAATGGTAGCTGAAGAACAAAGAGAAAAAAAAAAACTAAGCTGAAGCCCTCTCCGACAGTAAGTAAAGCGATCTGCTGTCTGACCACTCTGTCCAGCACACATAGTGTGTGGAGCAATACATCAAGTGCTCTGAAACTTTTTATGCTCACAGGAAATATCAGGAAGGTCAGAGATATTCAAACATCAGCTGTCATGAGGAATACCAAGGTACTTGGCACAAACTAGTTTTCTCAGGAAGGTGTATTTGAAGGATCTAACTGAGACGAACTGGATTTAAATAACAAGAGAGGTCTGGACTGGCAGCAGGAAGAATTCCAAGAGAGCAGAGTCTCTTAGGACATCTCTTTTCAGTCTGTCATCCCCTTGGCTATAAGAATCTGCAAAATACCACTAACAGATCAGGGAGAGGTGGCCAAGAAAACCACATTCTTCTGTGTTACAAAGTGGTTACTAGAGTAGAATTTGCAAAGGGGTCCTTGCATCCACTGAAAAATGTTTAGGAATCCAGTAACTGAAGTTGCTGTAAGTAGGGCATGAACAACGACCAGAGAAATAACAGAAACTCTGTCACTTGAAGGTTTTCAGATCACTCTGACAAAGCCAAAATAAGTGTCCTGTAGATGATGGTATAATTTAGTGCTGTCTGGAAGCTGACAAATGGAGTTAGTTTGTCCTCTTTCTTTACCACTGTATTTCTGGTTTTGTTCCTAGCCAGTTTCTAACAGTGCTCACCGTGGCTTTCTCTGCTCTGTCACACATTTCAGGTAGCCTAGATGATCCACAGAAAAGAAGTGTAGGGATGCTGGATTTGGGTGGTGGATCAACACAGATCACCTTCCTTCCACGCACTGAGGTAATGTGAACATGCAGACTGTTGGGAAATGCTGGTGCAGAAATGGGTAACTGCTCGGATTTGTTTCCCTTGGAAACAGACCAAGAGTTTGTCAGTGACATGAAGCCATGCTTCTGGCAGAAAAAAACCAGGTCACTTGGTCACATCTGCTTTGTTACAGTCAGTCACAGAAGCATTCACAACTCTTTGTCATTCCACTTACTCCAGGTCCATGGGTTGATGGTACATGTGGTGAATCTTCCAGGGCTGCTTTATTTTGGGGAAAATGCAGCGTTTGCCTGAACGTCTTCATCGTTGACTCTTAGTTTGTGCTGCTTGTAATGAAGAACTCAAAGGCAATGCTGTTAATGAATTCAAGTCCAAGATTTGGCCTATACTGCGTTTTAGGAACTCAGAGAAATGCCTTCTTAATCCTTGTTTTCCTGGGTTCACTCAGTTGCAAATGAATACTTTCTAAGGAGCAACTGTTATTATGAAGTAAAAAATACGTGCTGATGTTTGTCATTTCAGCTTCCTGCTGTGTCATTTTTATAGGTTTTCTGTGAGCTGGAAGTCCTGTGGATGTGGAGTCGTAAGGCTCTAGCCTGAGCAGAGATACTATTCATAGTAAAGCTGCACAAAAGTGGGGGGTTGGGATGCTGTATCTAGTGTCTCAGCCCGGGATAATCAAGACATTGTGCTTTTACAGCAGAATGACAGGGGATGTGAAAAGTCCAGGATGTTCAAGTTCTGGATTTAGAGGTGGTGTTAAGATATGAGCAGCATGAATAGCATTGTGGCCTGAGCTTTGCTCCCCACAGGTGTGCTAGGCGTGCTGGTGCACTTGTGGAAGAGGCTGCAAAATGCTTTAGATAATTATCATTTCATTTCTCTAGACCTCAGGCTGGTCCTCGCTCTGTTCCTTGGCAGGCAGTGATGTGCTTTTCGTCTGGCTTGTGGAAGTTCACAGCTGAATTCACTCGAGTAGGAAGTTAATGTGTGCCTGGCTTTCATACTATTTTGCGCATGGTTTTCCCTAGTAGGGAAGAGGCAGTTGGTGTAGCCTCTTGACAAAAGCAGTTAAGAATTGGAATAAGGGTTCATTTTTTATTAAAATAATTCTTTCATACACCAATTTGGTGTGGATACAAATAGAAATGTAACCAGTTAAGACTCTGTCATGTGAAGACACTATTTTAGGTACAGGTTTTGTGGTTGTCTTCTCTATCAGTGGTCAAATCGAAATGCTTGCAAATTCGTCATTTCTCTCTGACCCATGCTAGGATTGTTTCATGTTTTTCCTAATGTTGATGTTTGCTGCTGCTGGCAGAAACCTTGCAGTGACATCTTTTTCTCCCTCTAGGCGACTCTGCAGACATCACCAGCTGGCCATACAACCTCATTTCAGATGTTTAACAACACCTACAAGTTGTATTCGTACAGGTTAGTTGTGGGAGAGAGAGCACACTGTACAGATAGAAGCTTTCTCTGGAGCTGGTGAGATCTAGATGTTTTGCTGAAGTGAGGTCCTTGGAGATGAGTGTTGGGAAGAAGGAGAGAAACCTGAGCCACATCATTTTGGTGGATTAACCTTGGCTGACTGCCAGGCACTCACCAAGCCACCCTATCACTCCCCTTCCATCAACAGGACAGGGGGGAGAAAATACAACGAAAAACTTACGGGTCAAGATAAGGACAGGGAGGTCACTTACTGGTTACCGTCATGGGCAAAACAGACTCGCCTTAGAGAAGTTAATTTAATTTATTTCCAGTTAAACAGTAGGACAATAAGAAATAAGAACAAAATCAAAACCACTTTCCTTCCACCTCTCCCTCCTTCCTAGGCTGAGCTGCACTCCCAACTCTTCTACCTCCTTACCACCAAGCAGCGCAGGAGGATGGAGGATGGGGGTTGCAGTCAGTTCATAGCACTATGTCTCTGCCATTCCTTTCCCCTCACTGTCTTCCCCTGCTCCCAGTGTTTTGAGCAGAGGAAAACAGCTTCTTCCCATCTATGTTTGCTGTGGGATGCGTTTGAGCTCAAAAAGAGTCAGTTCTCTATGCTAGAGGCTGTGCTGCCTTTGAGGAGGGTGGGAGAAATGTTAGGGGAATGCTTTCAGCATTCCCAGTTATTCAAGAGCCAGATTACTGTTGACAGGTATCACCTGTGCTTTTCCAAAGAGGGATTATCCTTCTGGGTGAGGGTAGTATGAGAGTGGGTTGTCACGCTGTTCCCCTCATGGGCATTAGCTGCTAACTCGAGCTGTTTTGCTGGGACCATGTAGAGGAGACCGGCATGTCCCAGTCAGGTTGTTACGGAGTATCAGAGGAAGGATGTTTGTTGTTCACAGAGGCTTTCATCCCTTTGCAGTTACCTGGGACTCGGGCTGATGTCAGCAAGGCTTGCCATTTTAGGAGGAGTTGAGGGAAAACCTTGTAAGTTATGGGCATGCTTCAAGTCTTGGCTCTCAGCATTGGGTACGTAGCCCTTTTGTGGGGGGAGGAGTTGTCTGTCCCCTTCCCTCTGGGCTCAAGGTTCCTGAGTGGTATGTGGACTCCTGTCACCATGGCTGGGTGCATTGGAGACAAGTGACACTGCTAGATCCCAGGAGACCTGGATTCTTGCCAGCCCTGATGGGACATGGGATGTGTGAGCTGTGACTGGGACTTGGAGGTGCCTTGTTGAGGCTGTGGGGCAGTATGGAGCAGGCCTGTGGGTGAGTGATCTGAAATTAAGTCCTTAGGTTTTCCCCTAATGTGGCTTTGTTTTACTTCTGCAGTAGGAGAAGGAGAGGAATTGATCAGCCCTTGTTTACCACCTGGCTTCAAATCTGAATGGCAACATGCTGAGATAGTGTACAAAATTAAAGGACAGAAGGCAGGTATAGTGATTTACCACTCTTCCTATCTAGACCGGAATGCTATTAGCACAGTAAGTGATGCGCTCTCAGCCTCTTGCAGAGACACTAGATTCTCTGTGTACTGTTCTGTTTCGCTCCTCTTGACTTGCTGTTGAAGAGATTCTGCAGCTTTTTCCTCTTGTGCCAGTGTGTCTGTCCAGTCAGTAAAACTGCTAGTAGTAATGCAGCTGGAGTTGAGCAATCCCTGAACAGGTCTTTCAGAATCCATCCTTCTGCTTCAAATGATGTTGTCCGTCTCTGGTCTATCGCATGACTCAGTCCCAACCTGAGCATGATAAGTGTTGCCACTGGAAAAAGATGCAGGTTTCAATTCTCCATGAAGAGCTTACAAAGTGCTATTGTGCAAAAGGGAGCCTGTTTCCTGGCAGATCCTAAATAAATTGTATGTACATTTAACTCTCTGCCTGTAATATGCTGGGTTTCTCTGCCTTCTTTTAGGTGAGCCTCTCTATGAGTCTTGTTCTAACAAAGTTACAAAGATGCTCTATAAAAAAGTGCATAAAGCTGAGGAAGTGAAGGACTTGGATTTTTATACTTTCTCCTACTACTATGACCGTGCAGCAGAGATTGGTCTCATAGGTATGTTTGCTCTGGTTTTCACTTAATTTCAAATGATGAGTTGTGGAGAAATGGTAACACATGACGATGCTTTGCTAAGCTGTCATGGAACTCAGTCTTTTGTTACACTGCTGTGCAGCATTGGTCTTGACTGGATATTGAATGCTATTTAATTTCTATAGAGAAGGGACTGGGGCTGTGAAACAAGACCTGCAACTTCTAGTAATGGTTTTTAAACAAACTGCATTTCAGAAAATGTTGTTATCTGATTAACTCTACAATGCAAAATAGAAAAAAGCCCTCATGATAGATGGATTTCTTGGGCAGTAAAGCAGTACAGTGATCTTGGGCTGTGTGTGACCTTTTTAGATGGAATGAAGATTTTCAGATAATTCCGCATGCATTCAGAATGTATTCCATCTCTTTTTCCCGTGATATGCTGGTGTACAGAAGGCTGTCGTGTTCAGTGGTAGAAAACAGGTGATGAGATCTCAAGCTAGTTTGGACAGCCATACCCCCCTCCTCAGTCACTTTGTTTTACAAATAATTTCAGATTTAGCGTATCACAGAACACCACTGCCCTGTCAGATCTGGTCAAAGGTGTTAACTGGGTTCAGGCAGCACAGACATAGGAACAAAGTGAGAGTTTCTTTAGGAAATGAAACTAAAAGTTTGTCATAAAACAAGGGTTTTCAATCTATATTGTGAATGTTTTAAAGGTTCTTTTACAGTACCTTTAAAGTGAGTGTGAATTTTGTCATTGATTTCAGTGACTCAGGGTTTGATTTCTAAACAGTTTTTATGACTTGAATCTACAATTGCCTTTATACAAACCCCATGAAAGACCACGTTTATTTTTCTTTTAGATAAAGAAAAAGGAGGAAGCTTAACTGTCGGTGACTTTGAAATTGCAGCTAAATATGGTGAGTAAAATAGAATCAAACACACACTAGTAATTTTGTAAAGTCACACCCCAGTGGCAAATGGTGACATGCTAAGAAGCCTGATTTTTTTTGTTTTTATAAATATTGCACACCTCTCTCCATAGCATCTCACCAACATTTCTGCTTATTTCTGAAAATCTCAGCTATTTTTGTATTAATTCTTGCTTTTGCAGGCCACATGAGATACATCTTATAATACTTGTGTTTCAAAACTCTCTCAAGAATTACTAATGAACTTGCCAGTTAACAGTTGTTCTGAAATCATGCTTTCAAAATAGATGTGGGGGTTCTCATCCTATTAGCATAACCTGTTCTAATCTGGTTTAATTCCTCTTTTTGTCTCAAGATTTGTTCATATGCTTGATTATTAATCAGAAATGGGGGAAAACCAGTTCATAGCTTTTCACTTCATCAGCTGCAGAGAGAACTGCCTACACAGATTTACAAATGTAAACATTCCTTTCTTAATATCGCAAACTCAGGTTTTGATCAAACTTGACGTGGGGCTTTTCAGTAAACTTTACGAATGAATGAACAATTGTTGCAGTTCTGATTTCTGGACTGCCATTTGTGTAATTCATCCTAAGAAAGGAAGTGGAGTTTATTTTGATTTTTTCTTTTTTCTTTGGTTTTGTCAACATCTGTTGAGTGCTTATACTCGAGAAACATAACACACCTGAGTTCACTCCGATTTTTAAAGGCTTGAAGTAGATGGAAGAAAAGTTGGAGTTCCTTTTCATCCTTTTCCGGAGAGGTACAAGAAACTCAGCTGCCTTAGGGAAGAGACAGAATGCTTTGATCTTCCTTCCAGTGTGCCAAAGCTTTTGTGCTTCTGCTAATTGCGTGCATGTCATTGCAGCCCCACTGTAACAGGTTCCATCACTGCACAGCTCAACTGATTCATGTGAGGTTTTTCAAAGCTGGGCTGATGCAAGGCCTGGGCCCACAGTGTGCATTCAAACACTGTTTTCTTTCTCCTTAGTATGCAAGACCATGGAAATCAGCCTTGGAAGCAGCCCTTTTCTCTGCATGGACCTCACATACATCACCTTCCTCCTGCAAGAGCTGGGCTTCCCAAAGAACCAAGTCTTTAAGGTGATGCACAAAATGGATTGCTGGGGAGAGTAGGCAGGAGGATGCTGAGGCAGTAGTCATCTCACCAGTAACTCGATGCTTGCTTTGGATTTTGCTACAACACATGTTCTGTGATTGGGGGTGGAGGAACATTCCCCGTGATGGTGATAACTAGTTGTGATAACCTTCAGTACTGTATTCACCTTGCATGCTGCTTCTTCTCCCAAAGAACCATATTTTAACTTTTCTGTTTGGATTTTTTTTCTTCCAGCTTGCCCGGAAAATTGACAATGTTGAAACGAGCTGGGCATTGGGAGCCACTTTCCATTACATCGACTCACTTAATAGACTGCAGTACTAAAGCTCCTTGGAGGTGACTTTTGGGAATCTCAGTTTTTGGAAGCCCAACATGGGAGAATCTGTTAAGGCCTGGTTTTGGCTTCTGGAGTCCTTTGGGAGATCATCATAAACTAGGCCCCTTTCCTCCCACCCCCTGCCAAGTCCCTTCCATCACTAGCTCTGTTTTTACATGAAGAGTGCAGTGTAAGAATAAGCCTTGATTTGACAGCATCTGCAGTCAACTTGATGTAAAACTTGATCATTGTTGAAGGAAATCCAGCACTCTGCAGGACGTCTATGATCTCTATGAGAAAAACACACCTTTTTGGAATATGCCTGTACTGTCTGCATTTACTGTGCTGAAGTTGCTGTAGGAAGTGGTCACTCCAGAAGGAACTCTTTACTGTCCTGATTTCAGGGTGTTTTTTCCTGTTTGTCAACAGTTTCCAGTGATGATTTTTATTTTACTACTTCTGTGTTTGAAGGTGAACTTTTGTGTGTGCATGCGAAGACAGTGCATTTACACAGATGTGCTGCTGACACGCAGCAGCTTTGAAATGTGGTGGGGAAGTCTCAACCCTGCTTTCCACTTGCTCAACTAGAAAAGCTCAGGAGCACTCTAGAAACTGGATGTGGACTTAGAGGCATGAACCAGAGCCTAAATGCCCTGTAGTGTTAAAGCCTACAGCCTGATGTTGGTTCCCTGGCTGTGGGAAGATGGATGGTAAAAGACGACATCAGGTTTGCTGGATCTAGATGAGCAAGGCCTGGGAGTTGGGTACAGGGTTAGTGATGGATTTGACAGTTCCAAAGTCGCTCAGGGTAAGATCAATGAGCAAGACGCAGCCACAGAAATAAACCCTGAGCACAGCTTCTTGGACCTCACAGACATTTGTGCCTCGTCAAGGTTGATGGAGGGCCCGGGAGGAATGCATTTATGTGGTGGTTTGGGTGCCGCTTCCTGCAGACGCATCTCACTTTGATACGTGTGGTTGCACCGAGCCGTGGCAGGGTAGCTGCAGCGCACCCTGTACGGTGTCCTGTACGCGGGCTGGAAGGGATCTTGGAGGCAGTGGGAGCTGGAGGTGACATGCTGCGGTATTTGTAATCTAACTGTGGAATTGTGTTGTATTTGTATGGATGTTTAGAGCAGACCCGAGTGATCTTTTGGGAGTGCGAAAGAGCCCAGCCTCCTGGAGAGCCAGCAGTGCAAGCCCCCACCCAGGGGCTCATGGCCACAGCCTCCTCCTTCCCTGGGGGCAGGAAGATGTGGTGTGGTGGCGTGTGGCACTGCCTGGCTGCTGGCCCTGCAGCTGAGTGTACAGGGGACACTTGAACCCCGCTGTACTGGCAATAAAACCCCAATTTAAAGTTAAAAGGCGGTGGTGTGCCTTTTAGTGCCAGAGCCTGCAGGGCACGTGGGTTGAGAAGTGTCATCACAACCCCTCCACCGTCCTCACGCCCCCCACGCCACCCCTGTCTCCACTTGCCACGCCGGACCCCCACACGGTCCTTGCGCCCTCAAGCCATTCCCGTCCCCTCTCGCCATTACGGCCCCGGATGGCATCCCTGCCCCCATAGCCCGTCCCCATCCACCGTGCCCGTCCCCACGCTGCATCCCGCTCCCCGTCAGCCCCTCGGGCCCGCGGG